TCAACAAAGCGAAAGCAGGGAAAATTGACCTTATAGTGAATGAGAAGAAAAAAAGTTCACGGAATATCAAAATTGGATGAAAACGCAAAATTGAAAATATCAAAGTATGAAATTACACAGTAGAAGGATTGGATACATTTAAATATCTTAGGGTGCTGATAAATAATATTAAAGAAATCAGGGATATCTTGAGTCTTCTAAGTTCTGCCACGGGGTCTTACACTTCATACAAAAACGTAACTTATCCTATTCTAATATATGGGTCTGAATTGTGAACTCTAATAACACAAGATGAAAATCTTTTACTTGTTTTATAAAAAATACTACTAATTATTTATAGCTTGTACCGAGGTTGAGAAGTCTGCAGAGAAGAAGAGAAACAATAATGAGTTCTAAGTTCGATCTAAAGAAAAAAGTGTAATAAGGTTGATAAAAGTGCGTAACACCTCTAATGAGCGGAGTATGTCTTAGGAATAGAATAATGCCATTCACGAAGACAGTTATTATTGTATGCGTCGATAAGCAATATGACGCAAGGTAGGCTCAGATAAAAATGGGTCGCCTATGTAATGGTATTAGAAAAATGCAAGTGTGTAATTGGAAGCATAAAATAAAAAATAAAATCCCATGCAGGGACATCTTTAACTGTGCAAAAACTTTTTCACCACTTCAACATCCACGGTACAGATTGAAAAATTCATAAATATGTATGATTTTGTATGATTAAGCTAAAGCTCACTTCGAGCTATTTGATGATGAAAGACTCGCCCTCAGATCGAAACGGAATAACTTCTTATTTTGCGGATTATACATTTGGTTTGTATTGAAATAAATAAAAATGGAAAAATGGTTCCTAATTTAAACGTATTCTTTATATAAATTGGTTTTCATACTCAGTTTTATTAAAATCAAAGTGCACTGTATATTCTGAAAACACACAATTAATAAATTTATCAATCAATTCTTGATTTTTTTAAAGAGGTTTACTTTCTTACATGTCAAAATCATAAATTTTTCAGCTGTCTTGAATTCTACTTCAAATCATAAAGGCGTATACATTAAGACTGAAAAGTTTTCGGAAATTCTCATTTAAAATTCGCGCGCTGTATATTTTTCGATATTTTAAGTTTATGTAGTTTGGCAGCACTGTCCTTAATTACTATGCCAAAAATGAGCTCGATCTGTCAGACAGTTCGTTTACGGCAGCTGTTGAAACCAGTTCACCTCAGTAGTGCGTTGCGAAATGTCTTCGACGGTCGTACGACCGTCCTGGAAGGCTTTGTACCACTCATAAACTTGAGTTTTCGATAAAACTGATTCCCCATAAGCCTTTTGTAGCATTCGCAACGATTCTGCACACGAAATTTCGTTCGAAACACAAAATTTGATGCAAACTCTTTGTTCAATATTTTTTTCCATTGTTTTTTTCGCAACGCCCTACTGAGGTGAACTGGTTTCAACAGCTGCCGTAAACGAACTGTCTGACAGATCGCGCTCATTTTTGGCATAGTAATTAAGGACAGTGCTGCCAAACTACATAAACTTAAAATATCGAAAAATATACAGCGCGCGAATTTTAAATTAGAATTTCCGAAAACTTTTCGGTCTTAATGTATATTTTAAAAAAAGTGTCTTATTAAAATTAATATTAAAAAAATAATAAATTATATAATTTTTTGAAATTATAAATTTAAAAAAAAAAAATTTCAAATTAATTACATAGGTATTATAAATATTATTTCCCACTTACGTTTTACAGTTAGCTTGCATTTTGTTTCTACGGCACTAATTGAATTCGTTGCAGTACACGTATACACCCCATCATCTTCTGGGAAAACCTCATGAATTGTTAATGAAGCAACACCATTTTTATATTTCAGATCCATTATATCAGACGACGAAATAGTTTTCCCATTTTTAGACCACGTGATGTGTGGTTCAGGATCACCTTTTACATGACAGGTCAGTGTCAATTGATCACCATCGCGAACACTTGTGTTAGTTAAGGGCTTGGTGAATTCTGGTTTGCACATCAACGAGTCATCAGGAGGCACTAAATTTCAAATATATTATTAAATATTATTTTCAAAATACGCATATACCCATATTACGTACGTATCAATTCTTTTGTTGCACTACGGGATCTTGAAGGACTGTCTGGTGTTTTTAAATTGTTGCCTACATACTTTTTTTTATTGCTACTATTACCAATTGTTTGAATTGTTGAGGAACTTGTTTCGTCGATCTGAGCAGCAATATAAATACATTTCCAAATAAATTTTAGATCTTAAAATCAAATTTGATTATACTCACCTTACTCCCGTTAAATGTCGAGTAGTTTGAGCTTTGTTGTGTTTTGGAATTAGAGCTATTGTGGTATTGACTAGTTGCCGAAGTAAACTGCTGTCGAGTTACAATGGGCGGAGGAGCTGGCTTAATAGGCTGTTCAATGTATTTCCGATCTATATAGTAGGCAAATGTCATTAATTAATTCACAATAAAGAAAATGTTAATAAGTTGTGAAGGTGATTATTTAAAGAGGATTTCGTTAGAAAAACCACATGCATATCAAATTAGGTATTACTCCATACTATTTGGTTAGTTCAAACACAAATTTTGTTAAATTTTGGTTTGGTCCTAATTACACATGTATAGCAATTGACCGTTCACATTATATTCATTAAGTTCAAATTAAGGTTAAACGAAAGGAATCATCATTTTTTGCCGAAGAGATCAGTTAGATTTTTTATTTAACACATTTCAGTGAGTAAGTGTGCAATATTAAAAGTATTATTAAATTTTTATAGTTTGTTTACCTCCTGAGTACAGAAAATTGTGAGCAAGTTCGGCTTGCTCGGGCGTAACCCATTCTCCTACAAAAATTATATAATTTGCTTTAAATATGTATTTTTATGAAACTGAAACAAACTAATATAAATGTACTTATATAATAGTTAAAAGTAGATAGATATGGTTTCAATTGCTGTGAAACATATTATATTAACCGACAAAATATTCATTTGAAGGAAAAATATGATAAATGTTCTGATATTCTGAATTAAGGCGTTTGATTAACGCATACCAACTCACCAACTGTGAGTGATATATTTATGTACATATATCACTATGACTATACAAAAGTCACAAAGCTAATGTGTTATTAACTTTTACATTAGAATTAATCAAGCAACATTAAATAAGTATTTGTTTTTTCTGGGCTTAACATATACACACTAATATTAGGTTATATTAGTGTTATCTTTTATTTGGAAGGTTTTTATAAAGGAAACATTTTATTTATTTATACAAATATTTCGATTTATTGCATTCCGTTTTTTTAATTCGGTCATTTTATTTGATTCAATATATAAAAAGTATTACCAAAAGCCCTTGAAAAAACAAATACTTATAAACAATTTGTACATCAGAATTGTGGTTTATTGTAATATCAATAAACATGAAAAAACTTCTGTATTAAAAACAACGTCTCTCGCTTTCCAAATAAATCAAAGAATATGGTTGGAATAATGAGAAATACCTCTTGCCTGTTGGTGATGAGGTAGAGAATCACCCAAACTAAATTTAGTTTTGGATGTCGAGACTTTAAATCGACGACTGCAAACTCAAATTCAATTTCCAACAGCAAGTAAACATATTGATTTTATATATATGAATGCTTGGATATAAGGGTTTTGAGTGCTGTCAGCAAATCAAATATTAAGAAAATAGTCAACACAATAGTCAGCTAAGTTAGATCAGGAATCACTTCAAACATGTAAAGAAATCAAAATAGCTGCGGGCTAAGATAGTTACATAAAGTAATTGTAACCTTTTTTCAGATAGCATGACACCGCTGCAGTTAGGGGTAAGACAAAAAATCAAAATCTAATAGCTGGTGAACAATATCTTCAAATATTGTTAAATTGAAAGATGAAGGTCGTTACAAGAAATTCGAGTAAAAGGAAAGCTGCTTTCATTTGAAAGAAAAACTCTTCCTAAACTGACAGTACAACCATAAGCGACCTTAAGGTGCAATTTTTACACTATTGCTGCAACAACACTTTCATCGTTGCGGTTGCTGAGGTAAATTCAGTCTCACCAGAATAGTTGCACGTAATTTAATAATTGTCACGAAAATATTCTAAAGTTTAAGGATTTTTATCTAGTTTATTATTTTTAAGTCAAAGTTCAGTTAGTTCTTCTTGATTCTTCTTCTTGAGTTAATGCTATTACGCACTTTTAGTCTATAATGGCTGGGGGGCTTATCTCTACCCCACACTAGGCTTTAACTAGACAAAGAAATCATATAATTTATTTCTCTTTTAGTTGATGACGGACATTAAATCAGCATATCTTCCTGAGAGTCCAGAAGTTTAGTTAGTTAAAAGTAAAAGAAAATTGATTAACTTTATATTGGACACTAGATATGTTTTATGTATGCGGAAATTGTCACCAATTACCGTACGTGAAACGAACAAGTTACTAAATGGTTTGTAGCTTCCCTCGACCCTGTTGGTTTATTTACAATAGATATACTTTTCGTACGTGGCTTATTTATAATGACTTCTAATTCCGCGGACCATGTTCAACGTTTCTATGATTTTCTTTCGTTATGGTTGTTTGGCTTCCGTAGTACACTCTTAGGTCAGAAATATGTATATTTATTAGCTTGCCCGTGCTTGTTAATTGGAGGTGTACTATTTCGGATGATATGAAGTCTTGTACATAGTATGGCTCTTCATATTTTGGTGCCCGTTTCGCTGTAAAACCATTCGCGGCTTTCACAAGCATTAATTGATTTATCTGGAGTTTCCATTTCCTTTGATGTCGATTATAGTATTTGACTTTCGTCATCGCAAAAGTACATAGATTTTATTTGATTCCCTGAAAAATTTTTGTAGTTTATATGCTCTTGCTAAATGTGATGTAGTGGTTGTACCGTTTTCTGTCGTGCATTCACGAAGAGAGTTGCGGGTATATATACTATACTTAAAGTATATATATATATATATATATATATACTATTATTAAATCCGACCGAATTGATAAAGTATCCGAGACTAAGTTTTGTTTGCCCCGTCGGTATTGTATATCGAATTGATACTGCTGTGATATTTAAGCCCAACGAGCGTTGCAACGTGCGATTTTTCTTCCAGAAATTCGTTCATACAGATAATTTGTTTATCTTTGGTTAGACATAGTTGAGTAAAAGATCTTTGGGTTAACGTATCACCTTTTTCATTTGACATGCTGTGTTCTCCAATTTGATGGTCGTCCCCATAATTTTCAGCAAGTTAAGTTCAAGTATTACCTTATCTGTGGTATGCGGTAGAAAAATAACTCTCCTGGTGATATGTTTTATTACATTGTAATTGTTGTGGTCAACTTTGAGGTCACATTGTGTGCAGAATTGCCTGTTAT